ACTGAGAATTTCTACTTCCCTGTATTAGATACACTTCTGACTGCATTTTTTCATGGCTAAGACTTGGTTGGTATGGTCTAGCCTGTGGTCAGTGCCCAGTATGTGTTAGCTGCTCTCATCATAGACATTTCATCAAGCCCAGGATGCTATGGTCATGTGTATCCTTGAGCAGGTACCACCAGCATGGATTGTGAGATAGCGAAGCAAAAGTTACCCCAAATTCAAAGACCGGGTTCCTGCTTTGGGCTCAGCTAGTGATACAGTCAAGATGATTATTTTTTTTCTCAGCCTCAGTTTCTTAGTAAAATTAGTAAGCCAGAGAGGCTTAGTGAGGCTCAAGTGGGATTGTTGATATGAACCAAGCAAGATGTAAAGGAGCCGTCAAGTTATATAGAGTGTATATGCTGGATCTGAGAGTTGTCTGGATGCAGAAGATGCCTGAAGAGAAAGAGGTACTGACTTTTCAGCTCGTGTTCATGATTACTTCATGGAATAAAACTCACAATGGCCTTGGAAACCCATAGAATTTCCACAGACCAAGGACTCTCCACACTGATGACATGCTTTAAACCACAAAGGGGGGCCTCACAGCACAGATACTTGGGTCCCTCTCCCCAGCTTGGCCAGTGGTAGGACATGATCCATATTTAAAAAAAAACATGTCTAATAAGTTGTTGTCTAATATATATTATCTAATGTACAGTTATGGTTGGGAAGCACTGAATTAGATTTAGGTATAACCTACCAAGAAGTGTTAGACTTCAACCCACAGGCCATGGAATATGACTTAAATTTTGTCATTATCTAGGAAGGAAAATTAAGGGAAAAAAGCCACTGAAGATTGCAAAAGAACTTTGAACACTTTCTCTATTTAAGACCAAGGCAACTGGTTATTAATCCAGGTCACCTGCCAGTGGTATCGTAGGAGATACCAGAAACAGATTCAAGAATCTGTGAAATTAGCAGAATCTGGTTTGATAGGCTCAAGTTCATTTTACCATAAACCAACTGATAAATTTTGTCTTAAAGTTATTGCTTTTATTGGGTAGTATCTAACCTGTGGCAAATGCTTAAAAATATTGGTTAAATAATGAAATAAATAAGCACAGTGACCACCCATCTTAATGCTTAATACATAATACATGCTGGTTTTATTGTTTCTTGTACACATTAGAATACCTGTTATGAAGGGGTGGACTATTTGATGCAAAGGTGTGAAAATTTAATCTCTCAAAGTATTTTCACAGAGTTGGATGTTGAAAGTGGTTAGTCTCAGATAACATTTAAATTCTCTTGATCCCTAACTTCTTGGATGGGAAGGGACATATGATGTATTTGAAGTTTTTCAGACCTTACATTCTATTCACAATATCTGAACAACCAAACAAGAATGCATTGAATACCATGGTTATAGTGTATTCATTTTCCCTTTGGACCAAGAAACCCAAAGCTACAAGTTTGAAAGATCCTAGATGTTTCTCTGAATTTTGGAAAGCTTGATAATTTTTGTCTACCACATAAAATTGTGGGGTTTAAGATGCAATAATATGTCAACTAAAATGAAAATCAGACATTCAAGTTAATGTGAGGGAGGTAGACCAGATATCTAGATCTAAGATTTGCATGTGAACAGAGATTACAAATGCATTCCCCATTCCCATTGGTTCAGAATGAATCTTTATAAAATTATGTTCTATGGTAAATATGTTACAGAAGGAAGTAAATGGTTGTGACACTCATAGGTCTGGTTATGTGCCAAAGATGGAAAGTTGTGGTTTGTGCTTATTCAGAGAGCAGTTTGTGTCATATGTATTATACATTAGATAATTAGAAGACTAAAAAGATACCACTATTTTTTTTTTGTTTTTTCAAGACAGAGTTTCTCTGTGTAACCACTCTAGTTGTCCTGGAACTAGCTCTTATAGACCAGGCTGGCCTCAAACTCACAGCAACCCATCTGCCTCTGCCTCCTGAGTGCTGGGATTAAAGGCATGAGCCACCACCGCCTGGACAAGATACCATCATTTAAAAATCAGAAAGTTTTACATTCTTAAAAATATTGTTCTCTCTAAAATGGCTGTTATTTTTTTTCTGGATTCTCCACTTCATCTTGGCAATAACAGGGTTGAAATGTGTCTGATCCCTTCAAATGGGACAGATACTCTCAGGATAACCCACTTGACTGGGATAGCAGAGAGTATTTTTTATGATTGACCCTCAGTGTACAAGGTTGTGGCTTTGGCAGAATGTGGTAGTTAGCATGGACATGTGACTCGATATACACAGTATATTTCCTGATGCTTTAGCCCAATTCTACATAAGAGAACTCAAGCCATCATCCAATCCAGTTTCCCCCTTCCCATTCCATGACTACCGTATTTGGGGTCTTTCACTTATCTGTCTTCAAAAGATGAACACAATGTTTTAAATGAAATAGTTTTATTAGTAAATACTCTAGGATAATATATGCAAAAAATAGGCTATAATGAATATAATAATTTTATGGCTATTGTAGCAGATTACCACAAACTGGGCAGAACCAAGAGACTTTGTTTTCTTAGTTTGGAGAGCAAGAGTCAAAGCTTTGCTGAAGGTTCTGAGAGATAATTTATCCAATGCTTGTTTAGCTTTTGGTAGCAATTCTTGCCATTCCTTAGCTATTAGAAACACCTCTTTAATTGTGTCTCTCCCATCCCGTGGTATTCTTCCATATCTGTATCTATGTTTCTCTTCTTATAAGGACACTAGCCATATTGAATTAAGGACGACCTCAGTGACTTCTTCTTGACTCTCATGTGTAAAGAGTCTATTTCCAATTAAGGGCAGATTCACAGCTACTGAAGTTCAGGGCTTGAATATAATTTCTAGAGGATGTAATTCATTTGGTCATACTGTTACAGACTCAATGTCTTTTTGCAAGTTCCTCTTCAGCTCTCAAAATTAGCCTGCATATCACTCAACCTGAGGATATTCCAAAGCCCTGGAAATTTCTCTTTCTTTACACTCCTTCCCCCATTGAAGATCTCCTTTTATGCCACTGCTATCTGAAAAGACATGTCATTAAGTACATCTGCACTATGAATGCTAAACTATTTTTTAACTCTTTAAATTTTATTTTTGTCTAATTAAAGATTCATAGAAATTCCAGTATATGAACTATGGATTTTAGTTTATTTTCTTCAAACTTTGTTGTTTTCATTGTATGCTTTTCCATCTTTGTATTTAAGAATGATTCTTTCATATAAGCTTTGACTTTACTATGTAATAATGTCAATATTTAATACTTATTTTCTACACACCAGCTATGTTCTACATTATACACACTGTCTAGTCTGTGCTTTGTCATTTCTCAAGAGGCAGGTGTAATTCTCCATATTTTATCAATGAGAGTCTGAGAATGTGTAAATTAAAGAGAAATTTCCCAGGCCTCCATGCTGTAAATTGCCAAAAACTTGAACTGCTTTCACTGATTTCTCCTACTATTCTGAGATGAGAATAACATATCTTAGGTCAAAATTTATGTTTTTATTTATGTAACACACATAATGGTAAAAAGATTGAATTTGGTAATTAGATAAAATAAGCCTTGTCCATTCTCTTGCCCCTTCCAAGAGTTCTTATCCCTAAAAGGATCTCAATTGCTTTCAAACTATAATCCTAAAATTGTGCGCATGTGCACACACATGCATACACACTCCCCTATATTGTCTGTCCACAGAGACTATTCTTCTCTTCCTGTTTTTTATCTCTATAACTCCCCATTACTTGACACTGCCCTGGCTGTGCCCTGGCTGCCTTTGACTATTGAAGGCTCACTCACATTTACCTTCTCCCTGGTCTGGGACTAGCCACGCTTAGGATGACTGGCTATTGAGCCCTGGAGAGCTACCTATCTCCCATTCCACAACATTAGAACTATAAATGTGCCCGTGTGTGTGTGTGTGTGTCTGTCTGTCTGTCGTCTGTCTATAAAATGGGTTCTGAGATATCCAGCTCAGATTTCATGTTTGCAAGGCAAACTATTTCCTGATTGAGCCACCTCCAAGCCCTCCAAGGCACCTTTAAGCAATGTGTTTTTCACCTTGCTAGTGCATCTAAAGAAGTGTCTCCCCCCCCCCCCCCCCGGACTTGTGCTTTGGGATTGAGAGTCTGGGCTGAAGTTCTAACTCTGTTCATTAGTATTTATGTAAACTTGGACGAGCTACCTGTTCTAATGTATGTTGGCTTCTTGGAGTATTGTAAGAATTGGTCACAAAATGGGTGGCTTAGAAAAACGTAAGTTTATTCATTCCATTCTGGAGGCCAGAAGTCCCAAATCAAGGTGACCGCCTGGGCATGCTTCCCCTGAAAACCTTAGAGAAGGGTTATCTGCTTCTTCCTTCTAGTAGCTCCTTGTGTACTTAGGCTCCTAATCCCTGTCTCCATCTTCACTGGCCTTCACCTTTGCCTGTGTCTCCATGAGGCACACTCTCGTATGTCTCAGTTTTATGAGAAGGATAAACAAAATGAACCCTAACTCAGAATGACTTCTTCTTTAATTATATTTTTAGGAACTTTATCCCCAAACGAAGCCACATGTGCAGATATTGGAGATCGCAAGCACAGGTGTACAGAGCTTCAACACAGCATTTTATTTTTGGTGGGAGGCACTCATAAACTGCAATCTAGTGTTCTTACTGTAAAATGGAGGTACGAATGGTTTCATCTAGTTGTGGCTCTTGCAAGGATTCAGCAGCAACTGTGTTCAGGGCATCATACAGTATCTGCTACATACATCAGTATTCTCAGCCCTTCACATCTGTCTCCACGCTCCACACTCTTCCCACCGTTTTCCCTCTGAGGTAGAGACCCCAGTTCCTGTCACAGTCATGCATGTTTGCTCAGATTTGAAACAGAAAACACGCACAAAGGCATCTATAACTCGATCCCTGCCTCCTTCCATTAATCTAGACAATGGTTTTGAAGTGATTCTTTCCAACTAATGTCTTTCCCTTTTACAGGATTTATAGAAGGGACTCCTAGTCCAATGACAGATAACGGACTACTTTACACTCCACAGTACATAATCCCCAACTCTCCTGCGAGCGCAGTTCCTTTCGAAGAAGTTTATGGAGAAGCCTGTCCTTCCCTGTCACCAACCAGTGAAACGGACGAAGATGATTTGTTCTCTACTGTCAAAGACAGAAGGCAGAAGCGACTTAGAGGATCACCTAAGCAGGCCTGGACCAGCCCATTTCTGGAAAAGCCAGCTGCAGATAAGCCTCTTAAACGATCATACTCAGTGAATACCATTTTCCTGGAAGCTGCAGGTAGACACATACCACTTCAGAACCATCCCTTGGGCAAATCCAAGGAAGATTCTGGTAGGTATCACGTTGTGGTTTCTAACTTCTCTTGTCTTAATTTGTCATTTTCTGGTTTTAACTTCAATTTAACAAAACTGCTGGTTATTGAATCAATGGTGAGCCATATTCTAGAAGCATGATAAGAGCTTTATAAGTGAGACGTTAGGCTTTTGGTTGACACTATATTTGAGGAGACAGGTGTGTGTTGATGACAAGTTATTGATCATTAGGTGTTGCACCAAACAGTAGCGGCGACATCATATATGTTAAGCTGTTATCCTAAGCTAGACTCCATACTGAGCATTTTATGGCTTTTTACAAAACCAACATGTAACATTTAGACAGCTAGCCTCCCTACTTTACAAATAAAGTAGCTGTGAATGAATAGGATAGGGTAATATGTATGATAATTAAATGTTTCAACTTCAGCTGTCCTAGTAGGAAAGATTAAAAATAAGGGCACAGAGGATGAAGAAATAGTTCAGTGGCTAAGGTATTTGAAAGACCTGAGTTTGAACCTCTAGAATCCATGTAAACTGGGCATATGAGCTCATGGCTATAACCCCAGTGTTTCAAGAATGAGGAGGAGAGGTAGGGGGAACATGAGAACCCTTGGAAGTTCATCAATGTAGGCAGGGGTGAGTGGCAACAAACACACAGAGAGACTGTCTCAAGCCAGTGAAGTTGTCTGCTGACCTTCACACACATGATGTTGGACGCACATGTCTGTGTCCACCCATGCAGGTGTGTACAGCAGTGTGGTGGGCACACATGCCAAGCATATTCATGTGCACACACAATAATTTTAAATGGAGTATAAAAAAAAGGGTTTTGGAACAGAAGACCCTGGCTCAGGTCTCGGCTCTCTCCCGCATCAATTTTGTAGCCATGATACAGTTCCATGGGTGTTTTCTGAGCTTGGTCTTTTCCTCCATAAATCAAGGATAGTTAGTGCTATGAAGTGTATTTGTAATTAGAAGGCTCATTTCAAAAATTCTCTAAACACGGTAGAGACTCTAGGACGTAGGTATCTGGGAAATGTTACGAAGAAGGATTGGTACGAAGAAGGATTGGGTTGGTGTTATGGAGCCTTCTTGGAATAGAGTTGTTGTTTTTTTTCCCAGCGTGGAGAGTTTTCCTTCCAAATGCCAACACAGGTTCTCTGACACCAAGTCAGAGAATCTTTTATTTCTAGGATACTGGACCTAATGAGGGATGCAGATTATACGAGTCAGTTAAGACTTTGAAAAACTTTATGTGCATATGTTTGTGTGTGTGTGTGTGTGTGTGTCCATGTATATGTGTGTGGCGGTCAGAGGACAGCCTCCTATCTCAGTCTTAGGAGTCTGCCTCCTTTTGAGACAGGGTTCATTGGACTGCATCTTTCTAATTAGGTCTGACTGGCTGGCCAGAGGATCCCAGGGACCCTCCCATCTCTACCTACTCAACTCTGGGGCTGCAAACATCTGTTCCCACAGCAGGCATTTCCACATGTGCCCTGGGTCTTCATTCTTGTGAGGCAAGCGGTCCATCCACTGAGCCATCTCTCCAGTTTTGAGTGTAAAAACTCTGTGTAAGGCAATGTGCCAACATGAGCATATGCCTTCAGCTCTCATCCGTTTGATCTTTCCACAGAGATAGAAAGCGTTGCTTTCTTATAATTTGGAAGCAGAATTGGAGGCCTGTTGGGGTTCTGTTACTGTAGGGTTGAAGTCAGGATTCAAACCTCCAACCCTGACTCCAGGCCAGAACATCCTTAGCTGATGAGTTAACAGGGCAATGATGGTTCTTCGGCCTGAAGCACTTTCTAAGTTCTCGATTCTGAACACTTTGTTGTTATCTTCCCTCAGACATTTAACCAGTTTGTTTCTCCATATTCAAGTTTTTAGTTAAGTATGACACACTTGGTCTTCCCTAATCTCCTTTCTTGCTTTATTTGTCTCTTAGGATTATCATTAAGACTTCTAAGCTTACTTATTTCTTATTCATGAGTCGGCTCCCATCTCCTTTCCCCCTTCTGCTCCCACAAAGAGACCATAGGCTGTGTTGGGGCAGAGATGATGCTCACCTTATTCTCTTCTGTGTCTCTAATGTCTCGAATGCTATTGGGCACCTGCCAGCTTCTCACAGGTGAGCCAATGCATAAATGAACGATCAGATTGATTTTCAGCGGCAATCACGTGACATAGACAGCAAAAGCTCCATGTTCCCAGTGAGAGCAAAGATGCTTAGGACAGCTGGTGTTTCAGGGTTGGACCCTGATGGCCCAGATTGTCTCCTTGTTGCTGGTCAAATGTGCCATAGTGATTGCCGCAGTACTCCAAAGGAAAGAATGTCCATCTTTCAGCGTAAGAGATAGGATAGCATGCTCTGCCTAGGTCATGTGTGATTGTGCTAAATTCCAGAATTTCGGCAGATTCTTCATGCCCTGAATATGGACCATAATTAAGTGACGCATATGCAAGGGTTGGAAAGTCCATGTTGATAGGCGTTATGAGAATGTTGTCAAGCACCGAGTTTGGAAGCTTTCACTCACCCAGACATTTGGCAGTGTTCTGTTTTTGTGTCCAGGAATAACTCGTTCTTTGGATTAGCCAGGTTCCCTAAACGGTTCTTGTTTGGTTTGTCTGCTTGACAGGTATATTGAGTGCATAGCGGAAGATACTCAGTACCTACCAGGTACAGAGCAATGTGGTGGGAATTCAGTTTAACTCCTTAGAAACACATTGGGTGTTTGACGCCCAGTGTTAGGATGATGCTGTGCTTGGGAAAGAATTCTGTGGTTGTTTGAAAGGTTTTGGGGATTTGCCCATTACTAAGAAGCCCATTAGAGAGTTGCAGGAAATGATTTTAAGTGTGTAAATTATCTTAATTTATTACTGATGGAACAGACCTCTAATGTGTGTGAGTCAATGTGCAGAATTTCTCAAATAAAAATGGAAGACTGTATGCATAAAATGTGGATAGAAAATTGCAACAGTGGGGAAAGAATAGAAATTAAACTGGATATTAATATCAGCGGGAGAGTGAATGTTGGGTAGGCTCATCTTCGGGGGTTATCTACTTTTTGCATTTCAGCTGGTTTTATAAATTCTAAGAAAATCCGTGGTAGCTAATGCTTGGATTTGCTTTCAGATCATCAGCGGTCAGCCTGAGCCGGCCATTGACCCTTTCTGGCATATCCAACACAACTCAATAACTTCCTCTTTACAAACTTCCCGGAAGTAGAAGCTGGTGCCCGGCTTTAGTCACAAAGCTTCTCCCTTTCCCTCCGAAGGTTTGGACAGGCTCCTTTGAAACCCTTCTTTTGTACTCGGCAGCCTCTTCCCAGGGCCAGCCAAGGAATAGCCAGCATTTGGATTATGTGACGGGGCGGTCAGGGGTTTTCTTTTCTCTCTCCATCCCAGCTGCTGGCCTGTGGTCCTTGTCCAGGCTGGAGCTGGACTACCACTCAGCTTTGCCTTCCAGGTCCTGTGTTGAGACCTTTCACCGCCATCGGCCTCTGCAAAAGTGTAAACCAGAGCTGCTCTTCCCCGAAGATCAGCTGCAGGACTGCCTCAGAATCTGGGCAGCAGGATAAAATGTCATCCTCGGGCTCCTGGACAAACACAGATTCCCTAAGCATATGTGGAAGTGCATTAGGAAGACGCTTGGCTGCCGTAACACCAGGGATGACCCCCAAGCATTCTTATCGCCCTACAGAACGTAGGTCAAAGGCAGCTAGCGCCTTCCATGGCCATGCAGCCAAGGAGCCCCTGCCTCTGCTCGTGGGATCTTCTACCCATTTGTTTCCCAAGAAGTTAATCAAGGTTTGCGCCTCAGCAGCCCCACGCCCACCCCAGCGCTTCCATACGGCTTGTTCACAGACTCTTTCCAGGCCGGTGGTGACTGCTCACTTACACTGACTGCTGAGAAGGAATTGTTCTGCCAGCACTGCCCATCTTACAATCAATGCCTGCCCAGAACAACAGAAAGGGCCTCAGATGGATTGGTTTCCACAGAACTATTGTTAGGCTTTGTGAAGCATTTTTGAACCTAATAAATAATGTCAAAAGTCTCTGTCGCGGCCAAAAATGTTCTTTTTGAAGCATTTGTAATGGTATTTTTGTTCTGCAGTGTCTCCCACTGTTACAAAGAATCCACGCTGCACAATGAGGATCGGGTGCACCGCGTGCCACTTGGCAGCGCGGCCTGCTGGGATCGTAGGTTGGGCCTTTGTTTTGCTGTTACAGGTAAAAGGTTTCATTTGCCAGCTTCGGCTTAGGGCTAAGGGTAGTTTCTGAGGGCCTTCAGGATGTCTATGTAGACATTTGGAAAACATAATTGAATGCCTGTAATTTAATAGTTAAAACATGAAATTTGATTACACCAGAAATGCCCAGGGAAATTCTTCAGGCTATGTGAAGGGTTTTCTGTCAGAAACCTGAAGCCAGATCCTAGCTGGAGGCTTTGAAACCCTTGGAAGTAAGCTTAATTTTTTTTTTTAAAGGAGACGTTTCCAAAGTTTCTCATTTGGTATAGAAAAGTCTGGCAACTCAGGAAATGGACTATCAAACTGGTCATTCTAAATAACACATTAAAAATGATTTGGGGGTAACTTACCAGACATACATGCCTATGTTCAACACTATATAGTGTTTGATAGCTTTTTCAGTGATTTGATGGGATGCCATTTGTTCCTTTCAATGTTCATGGAGAAATAGGAACCAGTGTGATCAGTATCTGTCCTCAGACTTGCAGTGTCCCCTCAGGGCTGGCCTTGGGAAACTAGATACATGGAGATTAGAAAGATTCGCTGCATTCATATTTTCCCTTTGGCTCAATATAATATGTGTGCGTATATGCAGGTAAGAGTATGCCTACATTTGAGTCATCACACCTCATGTTCAAGTCTCAGAGTTTATTTTTTAAGAGTTGTTTTAAATTTATGTGTATGAGTATTTGCCTGCATGTATATACATCACATGCGTGCCTGTTATCCACGGAGGTTGGAAGAGAACATGGGATACCTTGGAACTGGGATTTCTGGGGTTGTAAACCGCCCCATGGGAATTGAACTCAGGTCCTCTGCAAGGGCAGCCTGTGCTCCTAACTGCTGACCGTCTCTCCAGCACCACAGCTCTCAGAGTTTCAACAGGAATGCAGCGGTGGTCTAAGAAAACTGCATGACATTTAAGAATAGGTTTAGATGCCTGAAAAGTATTCAATCTATAAAAAGTGTATTTCCACTGAGTAAGAAGCTTCAGAAAATAGTGGTATACCCAAACTCTAAAGCTTTAACGATTATGATTTTTTACACTGCAATGCTTATCTTATTATCTGTTATTAGCATGGTTTATTATGAGAGAGCATGCAGACCGCATCTCGGGTATCAGGCCATCAAAGTTCATGTGACAACTACAAGTTCATCCACATGCCCTTTGACTGGAGAGCAGTGTGTAGATACACTGACGAGTTTATATATAGAATCTGGGGTATTTTAACGCGGGATTTAATTATGAGCTAGCACACAGTGATATCAAAGCAGAACATTGCCCAAGGAGATTAAAAAACAATCAACTAAAATTCATAATAACTGATGCTGAAGCAGAAACTGGAGTTGACACGGTAGAGAGACTCTCTACCTACTGAGGTGCAAATAAGTGAATTCATCTGAAAATTCATTGGAGAAAAGGCAGTTCTGTCCAGATGGACAAAAGGGATACAGGCAAACGATGCTAATATGTGCAAACTGCAGTTGGAAGCAGCTTCCCAAATCCAGTCCCTGGGATGCTAGGACTAGAAAGTTGTGGTGCGACATGGAGAGACTGTAGCCAAGTCTTCGAGGGTGGCTCACTGTGATCCCTCTCAGGGGACCACACTAATGGGTTAGGCCCTAGATAAATTTCACAGTAAAGACTCGCATATCCATTTATCAGAGACCCTTGGAAATGTGTACATGAATATTTGTTTTGAGACAGAGTTTCTTTACATAGCCTTGACTGTCCTGGAACTCACTATGTAGACCAGGCTGACCTTAAAGTCACAGAGATCCTCCTGCCTCTGCCTCCCAAGTACTAGGATTAAAGGCGTGCCCTACCGTGCCTAGCATGCATGTGCATTTTTTAAAATAGTATATATTAATATCTGGTAACACTAGTGTTCTGTGGAATACATGCGAAAAGGCATTTTAGAAAATATCACTCTAAGCATACCAACTCCATGTATACTGGTAAGATTTGAGGTAAGGATTTCCTTTTAAATCACTAGGGTAAGAATCAGAGACTGCCAAGAAATACTTCAAGAATCCATTTTTACTTGCCTAGTGAAGGATATGTCTCTGGCCATTTCCTCTGTCTTTGAATAAATGCATTTAGGAGAAAACTTAGTCCAGCTCAGAACCTACATAGGGATGGATGAGAGAGGACTTCTAACCCTGACTGTCACAGACAGGAGCTTCTGTGATGAGATGGGTTCCAGAACTTAGACACAAAGGTCAATGTAGTGAACTATTTCCCATTATTTTGGAAAACAGTGCTGGATTGTACATTCAGAATTCAGTGTCAAAAAATGCATGATATGTATTCATGCACAACCCAGGCAGCGAACATAGGAATGAGGCCTCATACACCATGGAAAATTCTGTTATAGGCTCAGAATTACAGCTTGTTCTTCTTTCTGCAGGGACCTGTGATTTCATTTACAGTGCATTTATTACCACACACTATAAGTGTCCCATAAGCAATGTAAAATTTCCACTTTGTGGAAAAACAATTACCTTAAAACTACATTTGGAAGTATGATGTTGATGAACATTGAATACTGGTACATTAGAGGAAGAGGTATTTGAGAGAGACTTTGACGAAGGATGTTCAGAAATCAGGAGTCTTTTTATGTTTGAAAGAAATAATTTAAAAAGAAACTGTAGAGTTAACGTCTATTACCTGTTGGGGCTGTTCTAAGTACTTGATATTCTCTAACAATTCATTTACTTCTTACAATGATTTTATGAAGCAATTTCTATTGTCTCCATTTCACAGATAAGGAAGATTAATGTCTAATGGATAATAACTATATACATATATTAAACTAAGTTCAAAATGATAGTATAAAATTCTATCCTATATATATTACTAAACTAGCATATTTGCTTAGGTGGGGTGGGTGTCCATCCTCCCAGCATCTACAGTTTACAGACCATGCGATTTCCCCGTGGGTAAATAAAGGAATTTTGCCTAAATCCTCTCCTGAGCTTATAGTGAAGGCGTGCATAACTGTGGCCCGACCATGCAGGTAGTCACGTCTGGCTGAACCTTCAGGTTAGGAAAGTTCAGCTTGAGGAATGACAGTTGGCCATCTCCACATGCGATCTCTTAGCTAACTGTGCGGTCTCACACAGAGGAGAAAGAACAAGGCCATTCTTAAAACTTTGTTTTTCTTTAATGTGTATGGGTGTGTGGACGGCACATATGTCTGTGTATTGCATGCAGTGTATGCAGAGGCCAGAAAATAGCACTGGATCACTGGGAACTGCAGTTACACGCAGGCGTTAAAAACCATGGGTGTCCTGAGAATTGAACCTGGCTTCTCTGGAAGAACAGCCAGCGCTCTTAACTGTGGAGCTGTCTCTTCAGCCCTGAGGCAATGTTATTTGTAACTACAAATGTATGTTGAAGATTTGAAGTTATGAAGGGCCGAAAAAGAGGTTGTTGTCAGGGAAAGATATTAGGAATCCTTCAGAATTCTTAAGATGTGTGCCATCCCTTTTTCACAGCCTCTGAGGTCTTTTGTTTTCCTTTATAACCCTTAAAATGTTTTTATGTGTATGGTGTTTGCCTGCATGTCTGTCTGTGCCTCGGAGGTGTGCCTGGTGCTCAAAGAGTCAGAAGAGGGTGTTGGGTCTCCTGGAGCTGGAGTTAAAGATGGTTGCAAGCTGCCATGCAGGAGCTAGGAATTGAAACCAGGTTCTCTGGAAGAGCAGCCAGTGTGCTTAACCACCAAGCCATGTCTCCAGGTCTTCTCACTTATTTCCACAGCTGAAAAGAAACTTCCTGAGGCAGGTGTCCGCATGAGACTGTAAAGAGAAGCACATAGGTGTGATAAATTAGTTCACCAACTTGAAAATTCAATCATTTTGATTTCGCTTGAGAGAAGTTCATTTTGAAGGTCGCGATTCCACACCCCGCCCTTGCCCCGCCCCGCCCCTCTGCAAGCTGGAAGAAACTGAAGATAAAAAAGTCAGGTTACAGGTCCAAAGTCACGTGTGAGGCACAAGGCAGAGCCAGATCACGTGCCTTCAGGCTGACTCACTTCAGACACTCTGTTTCTCCCTGTGTCAGCTGATGTCGGGTTTCTATGTTTTCTAGAAATTGCACAAAAATAATTGCTACTAGCCGGGCGGTGGTGGCGCACGCCTTTAATCCCAGCACTCGGGAGGCAGAGGCAGGCGGATCTCTGTGAGTTCGAGACCAGCCTGGTCTACAAGAGCTAGTTCCAGGACAGGCTCCAAAACCACAGAGAAACCCTGTCTCGAAAAACCAAAAAAAAAAAAAAAAAAAAAATAATTGCTACTATTCAAGTGAATTCTCCTCCAGATACTTATAAACCATTTGATAAAAATATTGTATACATTTCCTCAGGCACATCCAGAAAATATAGTTTTTAGAGACAAGGTCTCACTGAAGTTCAGGCTGGCCTGAAACTCACTGTGTTGTGTAGCCCTTAGTGACCTTGAATGTGTGGCTATCCCACCGCTTCAGCCTCCCACATGCCAAAATTACCACTGTGTCTGGCTCAGAAACATAAATCTTGACAATATAAACGTTTACACGGAGCAACTATTTCTTATGTGTTTTGAAAAGTTCATGTTTTCTCATTTCCCCCTTCCTTGCACTTCTCCCTTAACACAGCGTGTGCCTGGGTGTAG